AGCACAGTTCTTATTTAACGCTAAGGAAAATCTTTATACACAAGAGGACTGAAAGGGTTAACTTGTACATGAGATTTCATTTCTTGGAGATTGTCATTTAATTACCGATCATTGTTTAAAGAAGAAGCAATTTACTATGATTTACTCATCCTCGCAACTTCAAATCTTCACCTCAATGCAACAGGTCCGGATACATTCAGTGGCGTAGATTTCGAGGGTACGTTTTTCGTCGACGACGACGGAGACGACGACTCCGTTGGTTTCGTGTTCTCTTATCAGGACAACCGTAGATTCTACATCGTATCCTGGAAGAAACGTCACCAACCATATTGGATGCCGACGCCATTCAGAGCGGTGGGAGATCCTGGTATTTTCTTGAAGCTCGTCGATTCGAGCACAGGGCCTGGAGAAATCCTCAGAAACAGTCTCTGGCATAATCAAGACACACCCAATCAAGTGAAGATCCTTTGGCACGATCCGAAGAAAATCGGATGGAAAGAAAGAACCCCGTACAGATGGCAATTATTACATAGACCTAAGATCGGCCTGATTAGATTTAGGCTTTATCAAGGAAAACAGCTGATGGCCGACTCGGGCAACGTGTACGATTCGACGCTGAAAGGTGGCAAATTGGGTGTTTACTGTTTCTCCCAAGAAAAGATTACTTGGTCTAATTTGTTGTACGTGTGTAAAGGTAAGTTTTTACTAAAGCATGACTCGGCTATTGAAGATTTAGAAAGTTGATGCAAGAATCAAGAATTAAAGATTAATAAAATATGGAATTTATCTTACGTTAGTTTGAAAATATTAATTAATAAGAAATGAAGCGATCTCAAGTACAAGAAACAAAATACATACATTCCTTAAATATTTACAATTCAATACAAAACTTTTACTTTTAAACTATATATATATATATATATATATATAGATGTGAAACAAAATCTCCAGTGTTTAACAGTTCAGTGATACAGTGTTTTAAAATTGGTATAAAGATCCAAAATTTTCCCCC